TTGTCCAAACCCTCCTGGAGCTCTGGCAGCCTTGGGGCTGTGCCCACTGCCCTGGGGAGCCTGGTCAGTGCCAACCACCCTGTGGGGGAAGAACCTTTTCCCAAAAAGAAATCTTCATAAAAGCCACCTCCAACCCCCACTTAATGTTTTATTTATGTGGTTATTTGCAACCCTTTGCCCATCACGTTATTAATTTCCATCTCCAAAGTAAACATGATTAGCAGGAAAAGGAAACAAAGCTGGGTTGTGTTTGCATTGCTCAGTGAACATCCCTGCAGACTTGGGTAAAAATATGGGGTAAAGACCTGAGAACATAATGAAAAAGTATTTTGACCTGCTCTGTGTTTGGTTGGCTCAAGTTCAGGGATATCTCCATCACACTCCTGAATTATTTCCATCACAATCCTGGAATATCTCCATCACATTTAATCTGTTGGCAAAGGCTTCTGGAAAGGTTGGGCCTCACTTTGTCTGTCCAGGGCAAGGTCACTGAAAGTGTTGCTGTGAGAAGCTGACAAGTCAAACACCAAAGCCCAATTTCCTCCAACTATAAAGTGAGTCTGACCAGAGCTTATATTGTGACCAAGAATGTCTTTGGGAGCTTAAGGTCATCCTTCTAAACCTCCTTTTTCTCCCATGAAAATCAGTTCTTGCAGCAGCAGAACATGCACCCATTTTGCAAAACTTTCAGTACATTAAATATTAATGCAATGGAGCCTATACTGCTGCATGCAAAGCTTTTTAGGAAAGTAAAATAAACCTTCTTTTGCTCTTCTTCCTGTATATTTTAGCACATGTTTCTCAAATCTTGTTAACTATGAAGCTCTATCAGTCTGGGACAGCTGGAGATGGAATTTCTAAAATCATATATTATGGCAGCTGTTGAACTTTAATTCTATTTAATTCCAGTTTTGATTCCCGTTTTTGCCCCCAAAATGTTATTCAAATCACTTATCTTTCCAAGCATTCAGCATTTGTAGGCTTAATTAACCTTCTAAATATATGGGCTTGTGTAGTCAATTAATTTTCCTTTTTCATACTGTCACAGTAAAAAGTGGCCTGGTTCCAAATCCTGTCATTAAATACTTAGGGCCTTGTGTTTTGCATAAAGCCTTTATTTACCTTTTTGTGTGTGTGTGTTACTTTTGAAGTTCAGCAGAGAAGGTTTATTGCAGCTCCTTTTTTATCTGTGTCACTGAGGTGGATTCCTGCTCCCTGTGAGGTTAATGAACACGTCCAGTTGTGTGGAGAGAAACTGCAGAAGGAGTGATTAAAGTGCAGCCTTCATCCTTTTCAGAATTTCAAAAGGAAATACAGAATGAGGTAGATAAAAACCCTCACACGTGGATATAAATATGGTTTTGAAACCTTTTAAGGGGAGATGAAATCCGTTTCATGATTTTTTGGGGCATCTCAAGGGTTTATCCCATGCTCAAAATACAGTGTCAAAAAATACTGTAGGAATTGAGATTTGCTTTTTAAGTGCAACCAGTTTAGGAAAATTAAATAGTTCTGTGTTGGAAATTTGCTTTGGATCACTGTGCTGGGTGTGAAAGAAGCAGAACACTGATTGCTCCAGGAGAAAAGTGACATAATCAATGTGCTTTTTAGTTGGTGAATACTGTGCACAACCTATTCCATGTTCAAAATGATTGGTCCTGCCTAAAGTAGCTCAGTTCCCAACAGCAGGAATAGCTGGTACTCCTAACAAAGAAGGTAAATTTTTGTTAATATATTTAAATTTTAGCATTTCAGTCAATACATTCTGTTTAAGATTTTGTGTGCTTAGATCTTGGTTTGAACAGGTTTTTGACTTTCTACATGAAATTTCATATTTCACTGAGCCTGTAAAGAATCAGAAATATCTTATAAAGCAGTTAGATCCCTGAGTTTTTCCCTGGAAGTGTTCAAGGCCAAGCTGGATGGGGCTCTAACCAACCTTCTTGTGGAAGGTGTTCCTGCCTAATGCAGGGGCAGTTGGAACTACAGGATCTTTAATGTCCCTTCCAAACCATTCTGGGATTCTATGATTCAGTGACTCACATACTCCCCTTGGTGATTAAGGTTGTATGAAAATGTGATTAACTCAGATATCACAGCTTTGGCTTCTTGTTTTAGGGACAAGGTTTGGTTTCTGCTCTTCCAGTTCTTCAGCCATCCTTGGGCAGAGGTGGTTTGGCAGCTGTAGGGGATGGTTTGACAGCTGTAGGTGGTGGTTTCACAGTTGTAGGGGATGGTTTGGCAAATCTAGGTGGTGCTTTGGCAGATGTAGGAGGTGCTTTGGCAGTTGTAGGTGACATTTTGGCAGCTGTAGGAGGTGGTTTGGCAAATGTAGGTGGGGGTTTGGCAGATGTAGGTGATGGTTTCACAGTTGTAGGAGGTGTTTCATAGCTGTAGGTGGTGGTTTGGCAGCTGGAGGTGGTGGTTTGGCAGATGTAGGTGATGTTTTGGCAGCTGGAGGTGGTGGTTTGGCAGATGTAGGTGATGTTTTGGCAGTTGTAGGTGATGTTTTGGCAGTTGTAGGTGGTGCTCTGGGCATCCCTGACCCGCTGAAGTTCAAGTGTGATGCAGCATTGGCTGATAGATTGTTTTAGATCGTAGCACAGCAGAGATGTCACTGAGCTCCTCTACCTGTCTGCAGTGCTGTCACCTCTGAGGGTGTCACAGGGGGAAAAGAGGTTGCCCAGCAGGCAGAAGTTTATCCTGCTGGATGTTCAATTATTGCTCATGTGGCTTTATGTCCTCCCACGTGCTGTTTGAGGGGACATGTAGTTGTACCAAATGAAAAGCCAGTTGAGGAAGCAGTGTGTGTTTTGTATCTGCAAAACAACCCCTAAGGGAAGAAGAACAACTAGGCCAGGCTGGGTGGGGCTCTGAGCAACCTGAGCTTGTGGAAGGTGCCCCTGCCCCATGGCAAGGGCTTGGAATGAAATGGGCTTTAAGGTCCCTTCCAACCCAAACCATTCTGGGATTCTATTTTGTGATTCTTCTTGTCACTGAAAGCAAAAAATGTYCC